GAGACAAAAAGAGCTCTGCCGGGAACTACTGAATCTTGCGCCCAGACGATGGAGCGCTCGTTTTTACATTCTCCACGCGATGTCCTCCGGCACTTTCAAGTCGATGAGCAGGAGGGTCTTTCCAGCGCGCAAGTTTTGAAATCGAGGGAGAAATATGGTTCCAACGGTGAGTGATGGATTATCCCCCCGCCTTAATTTCATATCAATACATATTACTCTCGCTCCATGCCACTCTTATGCTAAACTCTTGCCTCGCTATTATCTAGCCATTCCGGAAGAACCGCCAACACCGCTATGGGAACTTATACTGGAACAATTCAAGGATCAACTAGTTATAATCCTCCTGGGTTCGGCTGTCGTTTCGTTTGTACTCGCACTCTTTGAGGGAGGCGACGACTGGACCGCGTTTGTTGACCCCGCAGTGGTGCGTGTTTCGAAAAGCTGAGGAACATATATGGCCTTGGAATTGGAATTTCTGACACAGCTTGTTTAGATTCTTACAATCCTTATCTTGAATGCGATAGTCGGCGTATCACAGGAGAACAGCGCAGAGAAGGCCATTGCTGCTCTTCAAGAATACTCAGCAAATGAGGCCAAAGTTGTTCGAGATGGCGCTGTGCAACGCATCAAGGCTGAAGAGCTCGTTCCTGGAGATATCGTTCACGTGGCTGTCGGCGACCGTATTCCTGCGGATTGCAGACTTGTCTCCATCCAGAGTAATAGCTTCCGCGTCGACCAGGCTATATTGACTGGGGAGAGTGAAAGTGTCTCCAAGAGTACTTTAGAAATCAAGGACTTTCAAGCTGTGAAACAGGACCAAACAAATATCCTATTTTCCGGAACTACGGTTGTCAGCGGTCATGCCACTGCAGTCGTCGTTTTAACCGGGTCGAGTACCGCGATTGGTGATATCCACGAGAGTATTACAGCTCAGATCTCCGAGCCAACGCCATTGAAACAAAAACTCAATGATTTTGGTGATATGTTGGCCAAGGTTATCACGGTTATTTGTGTCCTCGTTTGGCTCATTAATATCCAACATTTCAGCGATCCGAGTCATGGGAGTTGGACAAAGGGTGCAATCTATTATCTCAAGATTGCTGTCTCGCTTGGTGTGGCTGCCATTCCAGAAGGCCTGGCTGTAGTTATCACCACTTGTTTGGCCTTGGGAACACGAAAGATGGCCGCAAAGAATGCCGTTGTTCGGTCTTTGCCATCCGTGGAAACGCTGGGCAGCTGCAGTGTAATTTGCTCAGACAAGACAGGCACCCTTACCACTAACCAGATGAGCGTTGAAAGGATTGTTTACCTCAATGAGTCTGGCACCGGCCTTGAGGAAATCAACGTCGAAGGTACAACCTTCGCCCCCGTCGGCGAACTACGGAAGAATGGTCAAGTTCAGGAAGATCTTGCTGCTACGTCGTCCACGATCTGTCAAATGGCTGAAGTTTTGGCTATGTGCAATGATGCGGCACTATCGTATGATCCGAAGAGCGGAACTTATAGCAATGTCGGAGAACCCACTGAAGGAGCCCTCAGAGTCCTAGTTGAGAAAATTGGCACAGGTGACATGGACGTGAACCAAAAGCTGAAGCATCTACCGGCATCCGAACGGCTACATGCAGCTAGCAAGCACTATGAAAACCGACTGCCCCTAAAAGCTACCTATGAGTTCTCTCGTGATCGAAAGAGCATGTCTGTCCTAGTGGGTAACGGGAAAAACCAAAAGCTCCTTGTGAAAGGTGCTCCCGAATCGATCCTCGAGCGTTGTTCCCATACCCTGCTGGGATCCAACGGCGCTAGGGTTCCCCTATCTCTGAATCATGCCAAGCTGATCTCGCAAGAAGTTGTGGATTATGGAAACAGGGGTCTTCGGGTTATCGCCATTGCCAGTATTTCAAATGTTGCAGAGGCGCCTCTTCTGCACACTGCAGAGACCTCAAATGAGTACGAGAAGCTTGAACAAAATATGACCCTTATTGGACTTGTTGGTATGCTTGATCCTCCTCGACCCGAAGTGGCTGCATCAATTCAGAAATGTCGAGAGGCTGGAATTCGAGTTATTGTAATCACGGGTGACAATCAAAACACTGCCGAATCCATCTGTCGACAAATCGGTGTGTTTGGAAAGCATGAAGACTTGCGGGGCAAGAGTTTCACCGGAAGGGAATTTGATGCGCTCAGCGAGCAAGGAAAGATTGAAGCTGCGAGACAGGCCTCCCTGTTCTCTCGTGTTGAGCCAACCCATAAATCGAAACTAGTTGACATACTTCAGTCTCTCGGACAGGTCGTTGCAATGACTGGAGATGGTGTCAACGATGCTCCCGCCTTGAAGAAGTCTGACATCGGCGTCGCAATGGGTTCCGGTACCGACGTCGCCAAACTTGCGGCGGATATGGTTTTGGCCGACGATAATTTCGCAACCATTGAAGTTGCCGTCGAAGAAGGGAGATCCATCTATAGCAACACCCAGCAGTTCATCCGGTATCTGATCTCTTCCAATATCGGCGAAGTCGTGTCTATCTTCCTTACAGCAGCGCTTGGCATGCCAGAGGCTTTGATCCCTGTCCAACTTCTCTGGGTCAACCTCGTCACTGATGGCCTACCGGCCACTGCGCTGTCATTCAATCCCGCAGACCATGATGTTATGAAGCGGCCGCCAAGGAAGCGTGGTGAAGCGCTGGTTAGCGGCTGGCTTTTCTTCCGGTACATGGTGATCGGTATATATGTCGGTGTCGCAACTGTTTTTGGTTTCGCTTGGTGGTTTATGTATAATCCACAGGGTCCGCAAATAACATTTTGGCAATTAGTAGGTTTTCCTTGTCTTAAGAGGGTTCCAATATCGTGGACTGTAGCTGATCCTACGTTATTTAGTCGCATTTCCACAAGTGCTCTAGAGAGTTCCCCGAGATCGGGTGCGAGATGTTCACGAATGACATGTCAAAGTCGGCATCCACGGTTTCGCTCTCTATCCTCGTCGTTATTGAGATGTTCAACGCCATGAATGCTCTGTCGTCCAGCGAGTCCCTTTTCACCTTCCCATTGTGGAACAACATGGTGCTTGTCGGCGCGATCATAATGTCGATGTCCCTTCATTTCGCAATTTTGTATATTCCATTCCTGCAAGGCCTTTTCTCGATCTTACCATTGAACTGGCTCGAGTGGAAGGCAGTGTTGGCAATCAGTGCGCCAGTTATGTAAGTTCCTTTCATCCACGTCCCTTTTAAGACGCTGGTGGGTGGATATGACTGACCGGAGTCGCTTCTTCCGAAATAGTGTGATCGACGAAATTCTTAAATTCTTCGAACGCCAGTTATATGACACTCGTACGACCTTAGCTTCGAGTTGCACAAACGGAGAAGCCACAAAACCTAAATTATCCTAGAGCCTTACACTACTCTCATCCCAATATATTCCAGGTCGCCTAATCCTTAGAGCATATTGGATGAAAATATGCAGAAAAATGTGTTTTATTATCATTGTATACGTAGTACATAGTTCTGATACGCGTTCATGAATAGAAGAATTTCTGTTACGTATAATGAATTCAGTCTTTAACCATTCGCGAAATAGTTCCCTAAGAGATAGGATCGATGCGGCGGGCCGCTCTCACAGACAGCCACGGCCGACAACACTCGCGTCACCGCACCCTCCTCATATCAATATCTTTGCATCGGAAGTCGGGGATTTATCGTAGCCAACTCGGTCACGGAGGTTCCCACCAAGCAATGGATGGTTTTAGAGTGATTGAATCCATAGCGAGGGACACGAACAGTCTGCATAGCACAACTAGTAGCAGTCAAAGAGCTATGAATGAACGGAAGTGGAGAGTGGACTCCACACTCGTTATCCGTCAAATGTTCGTTGTCCTTGAGGAAATGGGATTAAATTGTGTAACAAAGGCTGCAGCTAACGACTCCCCCTGCTCGCATTAACTAGTGACAAAGTACGGAGTACTCCGTACAGAGTACCGTTCCGCATACCGACGGGAAAGTTAAAAGTGTCAAAGGGTGGAATGATCAAAGCATCCCAACAAACAAAAGACGAGAATTCCGAGAAAGGCTGGATCAATCGAAGCAAAGTTACCAGCAGGGCGCGATGTCAATTGGCTAAAGGTAACCTTCCAATTTCTTCTCACATGAACCTATTATGCCCTAATTCCCGTTCGGGTCAAGCGTCCCACGGCTTCGGGTGCCATGAACCGGCGCGGCGGGAAACCTAATTTGGACGCAACAGTCTCCCCGGCCTGGCTCTGTCCGCCCAGGAGAGATTCAATTCGATTGTGTGCGAAGTCCTCTTTGCAGAATGCTCACTGCTCCGTTTCTCTTAAGCTCTCAATCGATGTTCCTATATAGCTACAATTGGCAGTGTAAAGCGCTACGGCCTCCGCAGGGCGTCATTTCGCCTTGGAAATCGGCTGAACAGAGACGAACTTCAGATCTGGCCAATCACGGGAGTAGTGACAAACAACTGAGATTTCTGTGGGTCTCCTAGGCAATATCCTCCATACAGAGAACTCCGTTTTGGTGTACTCCATACTCCGTACATATGCAGGACATAAACTGCGAACAACACCAAATCAACGTCCGATACGAGATTTCGCCACGCAGATTTTGGACAAAGTTTTCTTCTCGATTCAGACAGGTAACTCTTAAACGACTGCCAGGCGGTGAATGTTCTCCATCTTAATATTGGATATATTATTTCCATGTCCCCGTAAGTCATACCCTTGTCCAGGAGGTTAGGGATGTGACGATAGCTTCGACCGTTAATACCGTTTTGCGGTTGGTTACGGAGAACTCCGGGTTGCTACGAATTGCATCTTGCCCCTCAGGTTTTCGCCAAAAGGACACTAGGCACGGGACGGGTGCGATCCGATCGGCGGCGCCAACTTTAATCTCACCTCATGCCTTGCTGTTTGGCTCTCCTCTCGCTTTGGCCAAGGTTGAGCGGAGTGAGCAATGGACCCTTGTGGATCTGGAGGATCTGGGCTGAAAAGGAAAATTTGCTCCGTAAAACCGGTACCCCTGACAGCGTGAAGAATTCCACCCAATGTCAAAAAGGCGAATCACAAAGCGTTGCTGCCGTGATGAAGGCAGCCACCAGGTTTCTCAAATGTCAACTTGCACATGTCTGATAATCCTGGAGCGACAACAAAAGGTACCAAGGAACTGAAAAAATGGAGAATGTGGGCACTTTTCCTGGAGTGTCATAGATTGATTAAACGCACGCCCGTAGGATGTGGCCCCCCAGGCTGAAGATATGAAGGTTCCGATCCGCTCTTCTGTACTCCGTACTCATGATGTGTGACTGCACGACACACACTGGATTTGCTGCAAATGTTGTTGGTTGATCGTCAGGGCGGAGCTGGTCTGCCAGATGTTGACCAAGGACCCCGGATCGTCATTGCGACGTCGATCACCACGGGGATCGCTCTCCTCGTCGTGTTGGCCCGATTCTATGTGCGAATATGGGTGGTTCAAAATGTCGGACTCGATGTACGTTTCCAAAAAAAAGAATGCTCGTAGCCCAATCCTATCGCCAAGATTGACTGGGGGACATTATTCATAGGACTATGTCATGGGTTTGACAATGGCCTTGGTATGTTTTTCCTGTTGATCCTTTCCCGTTGTCCATACGCAAGATGTCTTGAGATTAATAGCGAATTAATTGCAGTCTCTCGCGGGATGGGCAATCATAATCCCCGAGGTGAAGTATGGCGCCGGCAGGCATATGGCCTACGTAATGGACACGGTGAAGACGGCCATGCAGCTGAATTTCGCAACCCAAGTTATCTACCTCTGGGCAATTGGGACGGTGAAGATCTCAATAGGCTTAATGCTGGTACGCTTTGCACCCGCAAAGGGATATAAGCTCTTCATCCATATCGTCATTGGTAAAGCGTCCTCGTCCCCATTCACCCTACACTCCCGAAGCCGTATCGCTGACCGATCTTTTTTGTATTTAGTTTTGATGGCAATTTATACAACTATCTGCTTCTTTGTACGTGCAGGATTGTCAACCTGAAACGGATCGTTCTAACCAATAGGCTCGCAGACCCTCATCTTTCAATGTCATAAAATTGAATCGATCTGGGATATAAACGTCAAGTCCAAGTGCTTTGCCCCCAAGCAGCTTATGGCTCTGAGCTATACGAATACCGGTATTCTTCATCCCCATCTTGCTTTTCGGATCTCAAAACTAACACATCACAGCTCTAAATATCCTCACTGACCTCATTTTTGCGTTCCTCCCGTTCCTCATGCTTCGGTACGACCGGCAGTAGTCCCCATTGCTATAAAATAACGTGGGCTAATATTACCGATCTGTAGTGGTCTGCAGGTCAATCTCCGCGTCAAAGTGTCCCTCATCTGCATCCTGAGTCTTGGTGTCTTGTGAGTCATAGCTCCTTGGGCCTTGTGGAAGCACGAGCATGGTTAACATAGAATTCCGGACGGCTATAGCGCCTGTGTCGCAGCGTTTATCAAACTCTCGATCCTCCCCAATTACGGAAAAACCGGTGACTTTACATGGGATTATACAGATCTGACGATTTGGGTTGTGTATGTAATTGTTGCCGATCCATGCTCCGATAGTAAGGCTGACTTTTGCTCGCGTCTATATACAGGGTCGAAGCGAACATGGGTATCATTGCCGGAAGTCTCCCGACACTGAAGCCACTGTTCAAAAGGGCTCTCAATATTTATAGCACGAAGAAAACGAAGGGTTACTCTTCAGCGGCGGGCAATTACAGACTTAGCAAGATGTCAAAGGGAGGTAGCAAGAATGTCACGCTTTCAAGCGGTAACTTTGAAATCATTCATGCGCAAGATCGCAGGGCCTCGCATCTTAGCCCGGGCCAATACAGCTCTTCCGCTTACGCCAATATAAACGGAACTCTGGCCGATAATTCGAGTGAGGAAAGGATTCTTCCGGCTCAGCACCAGGAAGAGATTGTCTGCACGACGGAGGTGTTGGTGTCGAGCTTCCACCACAAAGCGGGGGATACTACTTCGATGTAATCGCGGCCAATAATATTATTTTTGCGGCATATCATGGAAAGCGGATTAGCAATGCTTTTTTAGAAGTCTATATTGAGGACTTCTTTCAATAACTTCCATTAAAGGAGGCTTCTCAACTCCGCTAATGACTCGCGGCAAAAATTTTGACAGTGACATTCCCACCGGATTTCCTCTCCGCTAAAACCCTACCAATGGGAAAAGAGGAACTCCCCAGTGCCATCGCTCTAATGGATTGGACTTTTCCTTCTCTCGTTTAAGTTCCCCATTTTTTTTTCCCCTGGCTCCTTGCGTGCGTCGCCAAGGCCCCCGTGCCCACCGAGCTAATCGTCCGATTGTACTCCGTGCGGAGTCCGTGAGAATGGATCCTAGTTTTTCTGTTTCATTCGCAGCAGCGTCGTTGGTCCCATCGCTGCACATATTGCACAGCTCAGTAGAGCGCGCCTGGAGCGTTCCGCCTTCAGGGACTCTAGCACAAATATGTCCACGCAACCACAATGGGGCGGCTGGAATGGCCTGGCAGGGGAAATTGCTGTTGCGATAGGCCATAATCACCACGTGGCTTGCGCAGAGATTAAGAACTTCCTTTCTGTCCACCGCCCCGCCCAGAGAGCGAAATAAAATCCATCCCCAATCGAGCCTGAGGCGTCGGCAACGGTGCCATTAGCTATTGCACCTTGGCTTCTTCGCGGAAGCGAAAGCAGCGCCGACTGCCGGTTATACATGATCGTGGATAAAAGGCGACCTCCCTGTTCCCCCAGAATTTCAAATTCTTGATTGCTTTTTCGGAGACTCATGACCTGTGCCCAGTGATCGTTTGCAATCCAGTGTTTCAGGAGAACTCTTTGTTTTTCTGAGAACAGGATCTCCACATCTCTGATCTTCCAGAGACAAGAGGGTATCATAAAATGGTTGCCCTGAAAGCCTTAGCCTTCGGGCTTTTCCTCTCTCGGGTGCTTGCTGTGCCAACACCTGTGGAAAGCAGTACCTCGCCCTCAGATACTCCGCCTACTGCGTCTCCCTCCACCCCAGAGGCCCAGGCCCAACTCGAACAGCTGTCGTCTATCGCGTACAATGTGAGCAAGTCGAATCTTGAAACTGGCTCGCAGACGAAACGCAGCGGGGGCTGCAGCTTGTCAAATCTCAGAGTGCGTCGTGAATGGTAAGATTTTTCCCAGACTTATGTCTTGTGCTCCACCGATCACATTATATAGACTGCGCATATTTTCTCTCGGCCATGGGGTGTATGAGTTTTCAAAGGGAACTATGCTCACAACAGGTTAGGTCCACATTTACGGCAAGGCAGAGGAAGAGTTATATCGATGCTGTCCTTTGTCTGCAGAGCTTGCCCGCCAGGACGCCATCCAGCATTGCCGCGGGAGCAAAGACTCGCTATGACGATTTCGTCGCTGTCCATATCCAGCAGACCTTGACCATCCACTATACCGTACGTCTTTTCATGTACCCAACGTGAAAGCTTGCCCTGTCTGACCATCAAAAAGGGCACATTCCTTGCGTGGCACAGGTATTTCACCTGGCAATACGAGCAGGCTCTTCGCAATGAGTGCTCCTACACTGGCGCCTTCCCGTAAGTAGCAACACTTTGCAACCATAAAGATCAAAACAAGATCAACGGCTCATAGGGCCACATCGTTAGGTACTGGGATTGGCCGCTTTCAGCAGTAATTGGCCTGGAAAACCATCCCCTTTTCGACGGCAGCGACACGTCCATGTCTGGTAATGGGGAGCCGATCCCCAACAAGGGTGATATTTTTCTTCATCTCGGAGATCTACCCTCAATCCGGCTGCCTTCGGGCACTGGTGGCGGATGTGTCACTAGCGGTCCATTCAAGAACTTCAAAGTGAACCTTGGCCCCGCTGCGCTCGTCCTCCCAGGCGACAGAACCGAAGCGGTTGCTAACCCACTGGACTACAACCCCCGCTGCTTGAAACGTGACCTCACAGATGCCATAGTTCGAAAGTTTGCCAACGCTACCGCTGTTGTGGATTTGATCCTCCGCAGGAAAACTATTGAAAGTTTCCAGATGAACATGCAAGGTATTCCTGGGAGCGGTTCCATCGGTGTTCATGGCGGCGGTCACTACGCCATGGGTGGCGATCCGGGCCGCGATGTCTTTGTCTCACCCGGTGATCCAGCCTTTTTCTTTCACCATGCGATGATAGATCGCGTGTGGTGGATCTGGCAGAATTTGGATCTGAAGAATCGTCAGAATGCGATCCACGGGACAGGCACATTCTTGAACGATCCCCCGTCCCCTGACACGACACTCGACACGATGGTTGATCTGGGGTATGCGGGTGGCCCGATGCTTCCAATGCGCGACCTGATGAGTACGATAAATGGGCCCTTCTGCTATGTGTATTTGTAAGAATACGACAGAATTGGAACAGGAGAGCACTTACATGGATGCATATTGTGCATGGAAGATATAATCCGTTTTGTAAATAGTATGCAGGAATAATATGAAGAACAACACACATACCTTATCTGAGAAGGTGATAATATGATATGACGCCGCTAACGGCTCGAAAATCTGGAATCTGACCCGAAGTCTCCCATACTCCGTAAAGGCTGAGAGATACGTGCATCAAAGGTTGCACAAAGCGCGTGTTGCCTTGTGTAACATTCTCGGCCCGGATATGTAACGGAATACGGATGATCAGATCAACCTAATTTCAAGTAGACCCGGCAGCCAGGTTCTCATCTCAGGAAATATCATTAAATCCCTAGCAAACCATGGTAGGAACACAGGTAATAGATCGTACAAGAATCAAGTGGGGGTATCTGAAAGAAGCATATAAGGACAGGCGAAGAAGCATAGCACTGAAGAAGAAACATCGAAGGTAAACACCAATAGCGACCACGAACTGCGCTCCAATAATTTCAAAGCTCCTTGTTTTGCAGGTGTACACTTAATAATCCAAGCATCGTGGCATGTTTCAATGTCCGCATTAACCACCAGTAAACACGGTCTCGACCAGGGGCACAATCTCGTGTATACGCTCCTCTAGGCACTGAGGTCAGACAGTAAGGGCTTGTGCATTTACTCGAGCAGTATTAGCTTCAATGTGGAATCATGTCTCAATTTTCTGTGCTCAAGAATAGTAGGGTTGCGGAGGCGGCACCGCTTGATACTGCTGCTGTTGCTGTTGCTGAGGCTGCTGATACATTTGCGTCTGCTGCTGATGTGGTGATGGTGTGGCACTATGATACACTGGCAATGGCGTGTAGTAGTCCTTCGTTTCGCCATTGGGCGCCGGTACAGCCACTGGGATAGGAACAGCGTCGGTTTGGGGTGCGACAGGTTCCACAGGGGCAGAAGCAGTGTTCTGATCGGACGTAGTTAATGCAGGATTCGACGCGACGAACAAAACGCAGAGGAATGTCATCGCATAAAAGAAGTCCGTGACGAAAGTTCCGGCAAGGAGGCGACCCCTAGGATCAGAGGTAAAGTTCGAGGGGAAAAAACTGTAGGTGTGGTCGCCTAATTGAGCGGTTGCGAGGCCCAGACTCGCAGCAATAAGGAGCGAGGTCCATATTGCCATGTTCTATATGAAAGAAACGGGAACTGTCAGCGCATGATCATGAAACAATCGCCGAGATTTTCGATTTTGAAAACTTACCCCGCTTCGCAGTTGTTTCGAGCGGGTCATTGCAGTGGCGATGCTGAAGACCGCCATGAGCATGCCAATCACAGCGAACACGTCAAAGGTGATTATCAATCCCCGTCGGGCGTCAGACAGAGAAAAAGAAGTCCTATATCTAGATGCGAACCCATCCATTACAGCGGTCGTAACAGAGAGATATGAAATGAGGATACTGCTCAGGAAAAGCATAAGTGTGAAATGAGCAACGGTGACGACCCTGGCCATGATGTACCCAGCAACCTGGTGTAATTGTCTGCAAACAGGGACCAGAATGAGGCCGTAGAGAACGAGGATGGCGAGACCATGAAGCCACACCGCAGAGATATTAACGCCTGTGACTGCATAGTATGATATGTCGCACTCATTTAGAACAAGGCTGACAAGCAACAGGATGTTACCTCTGCAAGACTGGTCAATTATATGGCATAGTGGCGAGTCGAGAATTAAAGCAGCACAGGGTGACTCTGCTCTCGACAATTCAAGGAATGAACACTTACAGGAGCATGAAATTAATGGACATATGAATCATGGCCCACTGTAAGCTCTCTTTTGCATGGCCAGCGTTGAGAATACGCTTCTTCCGCGATGCAACCATGCATGCGAGGACAAGGTCGACGATCAGCCAGAGGGCGGTAAATGCCAGAATGATCCTCGAGTAATCTGACGAAAAGGCGGAGCTGGGACAGGCGCTGCCTCCCGAGAAGCCACCGCCGCCTCCGCCAAAGCCTCCGCGTCTGGGAGCCATCGGAACTGATTTCTGTTGTATCAATCGGTCGTTGATCGAATAAAAAGGACTTGGAGCAGATTCCCGCAAATGCCAGCAAAGACAGGCATCAAGAGTCGTCAGAATGCGGAAAGGGGAGCGGAAGGTCTTTTTAAATACGGGAGACGATCCAATTTCAGATGCCCAGCCGTGTGTGGCATTCATTTCTTCCGCCGTCGAGCCACATTCCCAAGCAACAACAAATCACAGCCGCACTGCAGGGATGCACATGAGCCGCGCTAGAGTCTTGGTGCCTTGACCGTGTGGAGCCAGCTCGGCTGCTTGATTGCTTATCGTCGTGGGAGAATGAGACCAGCACAAGCCCATGGGGGCGGAGCTTGCGAGCCAATACGAGCCCCAAGGGAGATTTGATCACATACTTGCTTCGCTAGCGGTCGTGCAGGAATCCAGGGTTTTACCCTGAGTCTTCCCTGGTCTTTAGACGTGGGGTGTGTTTGTGTCTGTGTGACCTCGCTGTCGTTCCGCCACTGTGACCACTCGAGTGAATGCTGATGTTGAACGGGGGCAGTGAGTCTTTGACAGCTCGTTGTGGGCTGGTGGTTTAAGGATCTTTCGCTGGAAGAATATTCTGGGGGGCCTGTGACATTGTTTGTCTGGATGATCGACAAGGTCCGACTGTAACCCGGGTTTGCACTGACTATTCCGTAGCTGGCTAGCAAAATCCCCTGTCGTCAGTTAGTTGGTCGTTGGTTTTCGAATTTCGCTCTGCACAGGGTAGTTAACTAGTTAAGTGCTCCGCCATTTGTCATTCTCTTTACATTTACCTGAAGCCGAGGATTCTCTGCGCCAGCTCTTTGGCAATATATATATAATGCTGGTTTCCTGACAGCTTGCACGGCTGCAAAATCTATCCCCTCTGCTTCCATTCTGCTTAGCAGCATCATGCGACGAACATCGTTCACGCTCGCCAGCAGACCCCCGCTCAGGACCAGGGTCGATGATGACGCTTCAAAGCGCTTGCAGAGCCTCTGTAGCCCTTGAGGGAATGGCATGCGCTTCATTCGCTTCGACGTCAGATCTACAGATATCCAATACTAAACTTGCAGCCTGCGCAATTTTCAAATTTACCGTGGAGCTTTTCCTCATCGGTTTCCGCGAGAACGCTGATGAGAAGGTCATAATTTGTCGATGGCGTGGGATTAAACAGTTTCAACGCGGCCTTTGACAGGCCGTCCAGCTCCGACAAACTCTCTACCGGTATCTGTACTGGAGCGCGCCTCATTCGAAGCGCATCTAGGGCGGAGAATGTGCTGCGGATCGACGTGACGGCCAAGGCCGAAGCCGCTGCCATCGTCCCCAAGAAGACGGCCCCATCCGCCCGACCTGGCGTCGCGGACCGTACCGCCGGCCTGTCATACCCGGCCAGGCCAACCCACACTGCTGTAAACCGGGGTCGTTTCGAATTCCAGCGATTTCACCTCGGGACCTGAGAATGATAAAGAGTCGAGTGCACGCTGGGCAGCGAGTTCAATAGAAGTAAGCGCTGGATCTAGAGCTACCGTCCACACTATCCATATCCACATGGGTTATATCTTTCCCCGGCATCCAAGTACGTCCAAGTGACCAGCGGCTTACACATTACACGGTCCTGCGTATCCTTTTGCCATCCGTCCCTCCCGCGTAACCACCACCGCTGCGCATTTGGTGCCTCCACCGTCAACATACATAGCCAACGGAGGTCCCGTTTCATGCGGCGTAATTCCACCTGGTTTTAACCTGCCGGTCAGGACTCCCGCATGACAGCCATTGGCAGCTTCTAGCCGTCTGCGGGCCTCTTCAGGCGTTGTTTCCAATGCCAGAGCAGCAAGCGCCAACTTGACACTACCTTCACAGCATGCTAATAGAGCGTCGAGCTCTGCATCAGTAGACGGGCACGAGGATGCGCTCAGCTTGCGAATGATATTTAGAGACCGTTGCTCAAGTTCGAGATTAGAAGCTTCAAGATCAACCATCTATAGACCGAGATAAGCCAATGGAGACACGCCCCAAAGGACGGTCGACTGCAGGTAAGAAAGATGAATACCCACAATGTTCCCATACGTCTCCCCACTCCTGATCATCAGCCTCTATGCTCAGCATGTTCAATACCAGTTTTGTCGCCGTACCCGCCTTCATCCTCGTGCTGCCGGCGACAACCCCCCCACCGTCACACAGCCACGCCTCTTCGCATACTCCAAGCAGACGAGCGCATACGGCGTGCGCCCGGGTGCAGCGATCCCAATCAGTGAGTCGAGCTCAGGCCGCATGGCCAGAGGGTCTAGGTCCCGCGCAGCGGCGTGGATATTATCCTCCGCGCCTTCTTGTGCGATGCGCATAACGGCGTCTCCACCAGCCATAAGCGCGATAAACTGTCCAGGGGCGGGCAGAATATGCGGGCGGGATCTCGGAGGCGCCGACAACGCCGAGACTATAATCTAAAGGATAAGAATTGGCTTCGGAGGGTTGTCCCAATTGTTTAGCTCTGAGTTGAATCGGAATAATTGGTGCGATCCAGCTTCGATCTAGGAATGAAATTGGACACCGTATTTTCCCTCCGTAGGTATCACCACCAACGGTTATCCAGGATAGCGCCCGAGCTCCCGTTTCGTAAGATGGATAACGATTCTGCCAAAAAATTAAAAAAATAAAAAAGAAAAAGAAAAAGAAAAAGGAAAAGGTAAAAAAAAGAAAATATTTTCCAAAAAGCTTCAACGACATGAAATGAAATACGATATGTTAACCTACCGTCCACTCGTCCCAGCACCCACATACACCACTCTTCCGCCCCCTTCTCACCCTTTCAGTTAGCAGTGGGCAAACATTCCGCTACAGCAGCGGCGACAGTGCATCTTCGGCGTTTATAAGACGGCCGATCTTGGTCTTGCGGTGCAAACAAGCTCAGGGCAACCGCCACGCCAAGCCGGCGAGCTGCGGCAGCGGAGCGCGCCGGGGATGGCGATATGTAGATACAGTACAAACATGTTTGACGAGCAGAGTTGTTCCGGAATACTTCTGCCGCCGTCGCCTGCTCTCTGGATTCCACAGCCATTCGGGTGCAATTGTTTCACCTCAGCTTGCATCCAGTGTACAGAACCGTACATACCCCTGATGTTATTATTCATGTCAAACACTCCAGCTGAATGTGCGATAATCTGCCCGCCGGTCCCAATCGCCATGGAGCAAATGGCAAATCGCCTGGAAAACGCTGGAGCTGCACATAACAAACTTCACTACGGCCCACACGGCCAAATCACCCTTCCGTCAGACGGGATAACTACTACTTCTCTTCTTCCTCCTGCTGGTGTAATATGCCGCCTTCTTTTAATACTTCCCAAGGATAGCCACGATACTCCACGTGAGGCCATCAGGTCTAGCTTTGCTCTGAGCATTTCCCCCGGACGACGTTTGTTGACCCTTTTAGCTGCACGCTCCTCATTCCCCGTGCAACGCGTTCGTGCCTGAGTTTTGTTCTGAATCTCGATACTTGATATAAAAACGACCTCATCAACTTGCGAGTAGCTGACATCTCACACGATCATCCACTGGATCTCTGATCCTCGCTATCCCTTATGACCAACATTCCACAAATGACTGACGAAGCCCATCACCCCCAAACCACCGACGAGGGCGGTGGAGTGAGCGGTGAAGTTACCTCTCCTGCCTCATGGTACATGATCACCTACAGCAATGCCTGGTTCCAGGTTGTCTTGATCAGCTTTATTTGCTTCTGCTGCCCTGGAGTGAGTTTTTGCCCCTTTCCCTATTCTTTCCCAGCCGTACAGGTTATAGCAATTGCGAGCTTACTCCTCCGAGATGTATAATGCGCTCACTGGACTGGGTGGCTCGGGACAAGTGGACGAAACCGTTGTAGCAAACGCGAACGTTGCCCTCCTCTCTGCGACTGCCGCTACCGCGTTGTTTTTAGTTGGTCCCCATTTTCTCCATCATCGGCCCGCGTGCGTGCTGGTTCTTGGGTGGATGGACATATGGCCTCTACAGTGCAAGTTTGCTGAACTTTAACAGTGAGAACCCGCTTGACTGTCGACCCTGAACTGAATGTCATCGTTTGCTGACTTCAATCTCTTTCCAGTTCGAAATAATGGCGGCTTCGTCATCGCTGCTGGTGCGATTCTCGGCGTCGGTGCCTCGTTCCTCTGGGTCGCGCAGGGAGCGATCATGACTTCCTACGTCTCCGAATCTCAAAAGGGGCGAGCTATCGCGGTCTTCTGGATTATCTTCAACCTTGGCGGTATGATCGGCTCGCTGGTTAGCTTCGGCCTGAATTTTCATTCCCAGTCCCGCACCGTCTCGAACAGCACATACATCGCCACCATGGTGATCATGTTTTTCGGGTGGGCGATTGGAGTCTTCATCCGCCCACCAACCCGCATCCGGCTGGCGCAGCTCAAAATGGCCGAAGAAGAAGTCGTTCATTAGCCCTTTTTCGACAAAATTCGAACCATCGCCAAAACACTCTTCACCTTCAAAATCGTCTGCATCCTCCCGCTCTTCTTCTGCGCCAACGTCTTCTACTCCTACCAACAAAACAACGTCAACGGCACTACCTTCAACATCCGTACCCGCTCCCTCAACTCTGCCCTTTACTGGTTGGCTCAGATGTTCGGAGGCCTCTTCATGGGCGAGGCGCTCGACGTGCGCTTCCTTAACCGCCGCCAACGCGCCTGGGTGGGCTGGGTCATCCTCATGGTCACCGCCATGGTGATCTGGGGCGGAGGGTAGGGGTTCCAGAAATGGGAAGACAAGCGCCTGGCTCAGGGACTCAAGCAAGACATCGACTACGCCATGGACGCAGATATCGCCGTCGGCCCGATATTCCTGTACTTTTTCTACGGCGCGTACGACGCCTTGTGGCAGTCGTTCTGCTACTGGTTGATCGGGACAATGTCGAATTCTGCCGCCATCACGGCGGTGTTGGTCGGCGCGTACAAGACTTTTCAGGCTGCTGGCGGTGCGATGGCATGGAGGATCAATGCGCTGCATAAGCCGCCGATGACGCAGCTTGCTATGGACTGGGGGTTGTGTATTGGCGCCCTCGTGTTGGCGATCCCGACGGTGTGGTCTGTTACCTTGACAAGTGTGGGCCATGAAGCTGGCGGTGAGACAGACATGAAAAAGGAAGTAGAGGGAACGGGGAATATCGCTGGTAAATGATATCGGTACCATAACCAAGATATTTGACGTGTGTGTCAAAGCAAACGACACTAATGTTCCACCATCGCGTGGATAATGTATTCAGAAAACAATTCCAACCATCTACTCATTTGTTCAGATAACAAAGCCGAGTTTTATGCACAGCATCGTGAGGGGTATCTTGCACTCATACACCACATTGAAGATGAAGGAAATCAAAGGAGGGGGAGAAAAGAAAAGAAAAGAAAAAAAAGAAAGAAAGAAAGGGAAAAAAAAAAAAAGGCAGTTAAATAAAATAACAGTTCAAGGATGATAATCGAAATCAATTATTGAATTAACATTAAGCCGGACCAGAAGACAGTAATCAGACGTCGTAGGGCCAGTGAAGTTAATAAGTATACCATAATCATACTCCCCCGGGCAAAAAAAGCATCTTAACTCTACCGGAATGGTCAAGAGGACAGCCCATCGGAAGCAGGAAACGAAATTCCGAATCGTACAAGAGCAGCTTCGAGGACAAACATTGAACTCATAACGGCCATGTAAACGAAGTGATGTGGTTGGGGGGTAAACGAAGGAGCCCGGAAACCTGAAAGGATATTAATTAATTAAACGGCCGGGGATTAAACGAATATTAAAATGATAATAGGGCTGTCGAGACAAGAAGATGAAAATCAGTTTAAACGCAGTGGGGTTTAATATCTGATATTGTTCATCATCCATTGGAGCGAAAGCAGACGAACAGACGTGGTCTGTGGCTCAGAATTAACTTGATCTACCACAAGTGCAGGATCTTAAGGATATCATGCCGGTGGAAAAAGGAGCGGTTACGTTTCCCTAGAATGTCTTAAGATTGGGGGAGAGAGGTCAGCGACTAGTACATGAGCTGCAGGTAATATCATGAACTCGGTCAGGGGGGCAAGATAGGGCGCAAACAAACTTACACATTGGAACACTCAGGAGGCAGATGCCCACCTGGATGCTGGCAATAATGATGAATACCTGCTTTTGACCACCATGAACAACCCAATCGTATGCGAAGTATGTAAGGACAAAGCTAAACATATTCTTAAACACGAGAAGGCAGGTGAATGCCTCAACAGCGATTTGGCCTTTATTGCCCATTTGTTAGGTTGAAATGGGGCTATAACAAGGTTGGCCAAAAAGGAGGAAGACTTACGATGAGCATCGACTAGGTACAATGCGCTTGCCACGGCACCCAGCACCATTCCAATAATCACCAGTGCGAAGAAAATATCGGCTGGAAGCCACCCGTATCTTGTAATGTCCCCGGAGATATACCCAAACCCATACAGGCCGGCACAGCTGAAGATAAGCATGGGGAAAACGAGGACAATGCGAAACTCAGGCTCATATTTGCCTCTATTGAATTTGATCATGACCCTAGCGGACCAGTCGGACAGCAGGCCCGAGAGGATCAGACCCAGGAGCGAGCCGACAAAGGCGCCTGTGTAAAGGTAACCCGTTTTGACCTCATTGAACCATAGGGGTGGGCCTAGGAAGAGTGCAGCCAGGACTACACCGATGAACACAGTCCACCCGATGATGACTCCTTGGATCAGACAGCCCTACGTACCAAAGTCAGTTGAAACCATATTGTTGGGCTCTCTTAAGAACGAAACCCACCCAAAGGATCCCAAGATGGAAGAAAAGCGGCAATGGCCGCAGAAGCAGCTTGAAAAAGTCTTCATCTGTCTTCCGGCCATTAAATAATCGCAGGGATTGTAAAAATGTTGCTTTTGCAGCGCCAGGTTGCCCTGCCGTTCCGGTGATAGCGGTGTCCTCTTTCATCTCCTTTTCGTTTGCCGAATCTGACTTTCCGTCCGTCTGGAGCTCTCCATTCGTTCCACTGCCGGAATGGTCCGATGTACCATTTGACATCTCCTCTTGATACCTTACATCCCTGGGGTTACGGTTTCTCTCGGCATCACCTTCAAAGTCCGTGTTGAGGTGGGTCGCTCGTCTGAATGCCGTTTCGGGGACGAAGAAGAAAACGAAGGGCAAACAAAGGCCGGCGAATATGGCGACAAAATTAAACGTCCATGCCCAGCCCATCGACGCAGTAATTTTGCCGACGAGAACAGGAGTCAAGAAAGCTCCTCCGAAAAGAGCCACGTTCGAGACAGCCATTCGTTTTCCACGTTCCTACCGTTGGGGGGGTGTTTTCATTAGGCATACGTACATAGAATGGGGAACTCCCGGGAGCGCACTTACGTGGACGAAATAGAGATCCCCCACGGCGGCATTCACCAGTGCTTCGAACGGAGCCAGGCCAATTCCTTGGAATATGCGTGCTGCAAGGAGACTCTTGTAATTGGTTCCGCTGGCGCCAGCCCAGGCGCAACTAAAGATTATGATCACATTTCCGAGCAGGAATAGATGGCGCTTGCCCCAGATACGGGCGGTTGGGACGAAAAGGAAGCCGGCCACGCCGACGGCACAGAGATGGTATCCGGTGAGCAAGGCGATGTCCGTGAAGGTACGTTCAAATTCGGCGGCAATGGTGACCGTATTTGCGGCCATCAGAGGACTTGTAGTTGCGCAAATGACGGAGATGAGGGAGAGGATGGTGAGGATCAAGTCGCGGCGCCATAGCGGCCAATTCTGAGACGGGGTGTTAGTGAAATGCTGACGCTGGAGTGCATGGCCTTGCCATTCAGTGAGTGCATGCTCACCAAGGGGTCGTTCGGCTCGTCGCTGGGCTGAGGAACAAGGATGATCGGTACGGGGCCGCTGCGGTCGTATTTGAGATGAGAGGTCTCGGACGGAATCTGTTCGATCGAACTGCTATCATCGTCCAGGACGTAGGTTGTCCCTAGGATTTCAAGCGTCAGTGGCATCCAGGAACGAGAGCGTTAGATTCCTGGGGCGAACCGGGTACGTGGTCGAGCTTGCGGTCGTCAAGCACCCCGAGGCCCATGGTTGCGGCGTTGGGTTTTGAGTACAGGGCGTTGTTGGACCGGGAACGATGTCCCAGGAAAGGTTTGGGGCGCGGGGGTGAATGGGAGCGCGCTTCTGGATCAGTTCTTTCTGCTTGCCAGGCTAATTACTCCGGCAAAAAGATCAAGATCCTAAGCTGGCAAAAGACATTCTTATAGGTTGTGTTGAAGTACCTGGGGCCTTTTGTATTTTCTTATGTGAATGAAAAAGCGAGATTCCAGCGATGCCCGAGACGGTTGGACAGGCGAGAATAGCAGGAGAGAGAGTCAGCAAGCTACACAACCACGCAGAGAACAGACTCGCCTGCAGCAGGTGAACTAATTAAACAATTGACTACGGAGTAGTTATTAACTAGGCCCAGATGCTGAAGCAGCGCAGCATCCCCAGAGAAACGCCAGGTCGGGGGGGTGAGCGCGGTGCCAAGTCGACGATCGCGACAGGGTTCGATCTGCCAGATCGGCAGTGCGCACATATATGTAACCGTCGAGTGAGTGACTGCTACAGAGAGGGTGGACGGGCTCGAGTTTACGGTACAGTATCAACTACAGAATACATGGATAAGATGAGAAGCACCCTTCTGTCGGGTTCATTTGCCTCTGCACTTGTTTCAGTTGCTCTCTTCCCCCGTGGTGGCGTGTCTGCTTTAAAAGCAGGCCTGCGAGCAGCTGCAAGCCATGTGAGTAGTAACCACAAACCAATAACTAGTAGTTGAAGGTCAGCCGACGCCTGCGTTTTCCGGGGGGGCAAAGCCGCTGGTTGGAGTCCGTTACATCCCCCCTCTTGCTGGGGAGCAGACAAGATACAGGCCCTTGGCCAACCGAGTGAACCCCGCCCCGCCCAGCAGCAGACTGGCCTGGCGAGGGAAAGCGGAGATGTTTCCTCTTGTTACATTCTGCCCGAAACAAGAAGATAAGAGTCACCATCGCACAGCTGTGAGAGAGATCGGGTGCAGGCAGCCTGGAGGAACCGATCGACGGACAGAAGCAGCCAGACCATGGTACGGCGATGGCTTGTCCATCGTTCGTTACGTGTCAACGGCCCCAGCAATACGTCAATGAATTCCGCTTCTTCTGCTGCGAGTGGCTGTGGAGAGAAGCCAATGGTCGGGTGCTCGCTGAGCTTGTGGCAGGCAGCTGGCGGGCGCTGGTCTGCGATGCGTCCTGGTAACTACATATATGTAACTAGAGAGCTGCCGTCCTGTGCAACGGGCAGATCTCCAATGCGGCGATCCTCTGCAGTGGCTAGCCGACAAATGAACTATTAGTTGCTGGGGGGGAGCCCAGTCATTTGTTGAGTTAACTAACCTAGCTGGTTGAGGGAAGCCGATTTGGCTGTGGCTCTCTCAATAAAATATGCTTTTCAACAGTCAGTACGGAGTACGGGGGTACAGCGTATATCATCCTGTATTAATGTATTATACGGAGCAAGTCACTACTAGTGGTATATTTATATTTCCCCCCTTTTGACGCCGAAGCTGGGCTTTTCTGTTCACTTCCTCGCCCTGGAGTAACTATATATCACCATTCCCCTGTCCCTCCCTCTTCCCCTCCCCACACGCCCTCACACACTCTCTCCTCTACACTATCATCTTCTTCTTCACGTTTCTCTCACCTTCGTGCCTCTGTCTATTTTCCAGAATCCACTTCCACTTATATTCTATTTCCTCACTACAAACATGAAGCTCTCTGCTGCTATTGTTGCTTTGGCTGGCTTGGTCGCCGTCACCTCTGCTCAAGGGCTTGGCGACCTCCCGGAATGCGCTGTAAGTGCAATAGCTTGTTTACATTGAAATCTTTTTGTGGAGGGTGTTTCAGTGATTTCTGTGTATTAATCCATTGTTCCACGATCGCACCCGAGACCTATTTCGCGTCTCTCATCAAACACGAAACTCTGTTGACGGACAATCTTGCAATATAGCAAAAATGTGCCACCAAAGGCATTCCCAAGGACTGCGGCATTGATGCCAAGTGCATCTGCACATCTGCGTCTTTCCTTGAAGCAATCACCTGCTGCGTGGCTCAGAACTGCACGCCGGCAGAACAGCAAGGTATTTAAAGCCTATTCATTCACCCACCACCTTTTGTTCCACTTGACTATATTCTCTCTCCATCCCCCCAACAGATTCGCACATCGTAGTTAGCTCTGTGGCTGATTCACACCCGCTTAGAATCCATTCGTTACGCAAATAAAATCTGTGGTACTGTTGGCATCACCGATCTCCCGCAGAGCGCCGTCTGCACAACCGGAACTGCCCAGCCAAGCGGCGGCAGCAGCACTTCGGCCTCTGCCAACACCGCTTCTCAGGCCACAGGCGGCTCCACGGGCTCTAGCGCTCCCACATCCACAAGCGCTTCATCCAACCCCAACCCGAATCCTACAAGCGACAACCCTCCTGAAACCCAGACCTCCTCTCCCAACGGGGCCGCGGCTGCTCTTAGCAATGCCAATGGTGGTGCCATCGCTGCCGTCGCCGCTCTGATCGTGGCCTTCGCATAAGCACCTCAGCACGCGCCCCCCATCATTTCCACAGTCATGAAATATGAAATGGAACGCGGTTGTAGACCCTTTATTTTTTTTTTTTTTTTCCCCTCTTAATATTAATAACCTAATTAATGCAAACGTGACATGATGAGCATGCTTTGTCATAGCAATCGCGTGATAATGGTACCTAGTGAATGGGAAAGGCTGGCCGCTGGGGATTGAACGGGTTTTGATTTTTTGACTTTCGATCACCAAATGGTCAATGCCAGTGTCATATAATTATTTTTTCAAAAGGCTTTGTTTTAATAGTTTCAATTGCCCGCTAGCCTTACCAAGAAATTACAAGAAATATCCCGCGTTGTCGGTTCCTTGTCATCCGAATGAATAATCTTGGTAGATACGACGCGCCGGGATCTACTTCCGACATAAGCAACAAACCATTGAGAATTTACCAGTATGGTAGTTAATAAAAACTGCGATTGGTAAATTTAGAGTGGTTTTCGTTCCTCGGTCAATACTCCGTGTTGGGAATTCCGGAGTACGCGGGTGATGGTTTTAAGACTATCCGTAGGTCGTACATATTCCGTCGATACTTGTATTCAGCGGGATCTCTTTATCGCTCTAGATCGGGGCGTATGTGACATCCGTCGGGACATGCCAGTCGCTCTGGCAATGCACCGGCCAAAGTTATAAAATTCCAGAGACCAGAGATCGATGCTTGTACTCTGTCGCACGGCGCTCGTCATTGAGGGCGATGAAGAACTAGTTAGGTTTTCAATCAGAAAGGGAGCTTCCACAGAGCAAATCCGCGCACAGTCACTCGTCTCACCCAGCAAGAGAACATTATCTCCATGACCCCATATCCCAGCACAATCTTACTCTTCAATTCCTCCACCAACGTCATCTTCACACCACCAGGAGCGGCAGCGGCAGCGGCGGTAGGGTTACCTACCGAGTCGAGCGCAGCAAGCCCGACCTTCCCCGCCCACACGCTCTCTGGCGAGAAGTAAACTTTCAACGAGACAAAGAAGAAGATCCAGAAGCGCAGGGTGGTTAGTAGCATGCATAGATGGACATATAGTGATGTGAATTCCGTCGCGACCTTGACTGCCGCGTCTGTCACGCTGGGGTCCGGCTCCCCCGCGAGTTGCCCCTCGGTTCGCGGCTGGCGTGCGGCGGCGGCGGCGGCGTCGCGGCGGATGCAGTGGGCAATTGTGAGGATGCGGTTCAGGGCAGGCAGTTTGATGGCCAGGGTCAGGTCAACAAGCGCGAAGATGAGGAGGAGGATGCCGCATAAGGCAAAGGGGGAGCGGGGACGGCTGAAAGGTGGGATGTCGAACTGGGGGAGGAACGGTTAGTAACCAAAAAAAAAAAGGACAAAAGGCGCCAAACTTTGGGCGACGAGGTTTTCAAAAAAGAGAAGTGGCATACGATTTTCAGCTCATCTTGAACGTAGTAGACTAGGCCCGAGTCCGTTATGACTTCTGGTGACCAAGTCAGGTAGGCTGCGAGGGCAAACTGAAATAGAGCGTGAAGCTTGATGAAGCTTCTGGAAGACAGGCGGCTCATATCACATTTCGGAGCCGTGGGCTCTGCTAAGGGCAGGGAGAGGGAAAGGAGACGGGAAAAAGAGAGAACGCTGGAGAAACTCCAGCAGGAGCGGGCTTGAATCTAACGAGTCCAACCAGACAGTTCGTAGATCACCGGAGAATTATCTACGGAGAAGTTGCTCAGCTGTGGTCGCCTGTCTCTTGGCATCTCCTGGGCAGCGAAGTCCGCCAGGCACAGGCGGAATATCGTTGAGGCTGCGGGTGAGTTTCGATGGGCCACTCGTTCATGCATTCTCAATAGCTACTGTATATGCATGTATGCAATATTTAAAGAGATGACCCTAAGCCGTTTCAACTGAGACCACCGGGAATATCGACTTCCTTTGATACCACCGTACATATATGTTCATCTGGATTTAGAGCTCTTCTCTCAACAGTTGGCTCAGCTTGGGACAGAATAGGAAGGATTCTTCATTATGATCTAGCAAAAGAAATGGGTTCGGGGGAATTTGATCCCACTCCAGCCGTAATTAGGACGACACGACGTCTACTGTTTTCCAGCTGGCGTTGATAGGACCACAGCACATTTCTCCTGGACCTTTCGGTACCGATTATCTCACACAGTAAAATTTCCCCTCAGGAATTCCAGCTCAAGGTCAGGAGGGCTTCGAGTCAGGCTGGTTACTCTCGAATCCCATGGAGCAGCCACAGAAACAGCGTAGAGCAATCCTCCACCGGATGCTTAAAGCCAGGATAAGGTCTTTGGAGTAAGTACATAGCCGGGAGTATCTTCTATCTTTCCTCCAGCCACTCAAAATTAACCTCATAATACCGAGGTTCCGGGTCTCTACAGCCGGTGAGACGAGATATTGCTGGAGTTTCCACGACTAACCCGTGCTTGGGACTTGACCCAGCAGAATTGGCGAGACTATATGACTCGTCATCATCGGCTTCGCAAACGGGAACATCCGCACACGCGATACGGGAAAAGGGGAAATGACTGGCTGGGATATCTGCCCTATAACTCCGTTGTTACACGGGAGCTGCTGGAACCCGTCTGCTCGTCGGACAGGAATCCCACCCTTTCTATTTGCGGGAATCTGGTGGGATCCGCACAAAGAACGGTCGTATATTCCATCGGAATCGCGTGTTTGCTGCAGGGGATTGACCGCGTGTAGGTGGCATTTTATGCGGGCGCCGACAGGAGCGTTTCTCCCCAAAAAGAAAAAAACAAAAAAAAAAAAAAATTATATACATATATATTAATATAAAATAGAATATAAATAAAAATTGGGGGGTTTTTAGAGAACATTATTGGATGAAGCAATGTGCTTCATACCTGGGGCCCATTCAGCTCAATGCTTCCGTATCCTCAAGAGGCTGGTTGACAAAGGACGGAATGGCAAAGTCCTTCCGGCTGGACAACCCGAACACGTCTGGGTAGCACCACTCCAGGCCGGGAATATTAAAACAGAAAAAAGGGAATATTCGAAGACCATTTCCACGAGGTTGCATTGTTGGGGTAACAAAGCCTATGAGATGCGAACTCACGTTGTAATTCTCTGTACGGAGCAGGCTGTACTACGAAGGCCGACCTGACGCCCTGGTTCTGATGGTAAACTCTACTGAATCGAGCACCCAAACGGTGAGGTGACGCAGAGGGGAGAGAGATCGGCGTGCAGCCCTTTCGCAGTGGAGATGTCCGACTTCAATACTTTCATCACGCAGAAATCCGCGGTGAAGACGCGACTTGCAGCTCCTGTCCAACTAGTTAACGAGTTAGAAGTGGCCGATGCCGCCCGTGCCAAGAACCGCCAGCAACGGAACATCCAGCGGCAGAGCGAAGGGCCGTCGGTAATAGTCCAACAGCCGCTCGTTGTCCCCTAGCAAGAAAGCGCAGGAGAAGAAAAAGAAGAGGGAATAAGAGAAACATCAAGGCATTTCGCTTTCGGTTCGTCAGGGAAAAAAAAAAGAAAAAAGAAAAAGGAAAAAAATGGCGGACTCGCCGCTGTTCTGGAAAGATCGCCATATCAAATATTTCCTTCGCTGTCTCAAAACCCTGCTGCCCCACCAATATACCCCCAATGACTCCAACCGCATGACCCTGGGCTTCTTTATCGTCGGCGGGCTCGATCTCCTTGGCTTCTTGCACGCAAGTCTGTCTGAATCTGAGCGACGGGCCTATGCCAATTGGGTCTATCACTGCCAGCTCTCCTCGGGGGGGTTTAGAGGCTTCACCGGCACCAAGTTTGGGGATGATGACCAGAGGACGGCTGCAAACGAGGCGTGGGATCCAGCTAATTTGCCGGCTACTTTCTTCGCGCTGGTCACCCTGCTAATCCTTGGTGATGACCTGACGCGCGTAAGGAGAAAAGAGTGCTTGCGTTGGCTACGCACAATGCAGCGCGAGGATGGGAGCTTTGGGGAGGTACTGGGCGCTAACGGGCAGATAGAAGGAGGCAGCGATCTACGATTTTGCTGCTGTGCAGCTGGCATTCGATACATGCTCCGGGGAAAGGACGCTGAGTACCTGAAGGACGTCGACGATATTGATATCCGGAGGCTGGCTACTTATGTCGAGAAATGTCAGGTAAGAAAGAGAAAGCCATCCATCTTTCATTTTCCTACGTACTGTTGATAGGAGGTTGACCGTGTATGCTTTGGGGGAAATAAGTCGTATGACGGTGGATTTGCGCAAGCTCCTTGGTTGGAGGCCCACGGTATGCATCATCATCATCATTACCGATCCTGTACCCCAAATTCCAACGCCCTCCAGCTTATACTTTCTTTTGAAAACTATAGCTGGGCTGACTTACTGCGCCCTTGGTACATTATCATTTCTTGACGGCATCCCGAAAGAAAAGACCGGCGATATCATACCAGATCTGAATATTGCAGCATGCACTCCAGGCTCCGCGGAGTTTGAATCCCTAATAGAGTGGCTTGCTTTTCGACAGACCAACGTAATACAGGAGGATAATGAATCCGACGACGAAGAGGATGGCGATACCGCTGGTAGAGAGGAACTGGACCTACCGGCATCAACCACCCGACGACCCTCGCTCGCGAAAGGCGCTGCATTCTCCATCGAAGAGCAAATATCATCCTTACCCGTACTCCTGGCGGCATCCCACTGGCCCAGTGAACAGCAAAATTGCGCAGGTTTCAACGGAAGAACCAACAAAATCGCCGACACCTGCTATTGTTTTTGGGTGACTGGCTCGTTGGCGGTAGACATCCTTCTCCCTCACAAACCCCCCCCCCCCCCAACACAGAGCTCAAACTGAATTTTATCACAGATTCTTAACCGCCTCAACGTCATCAATGCCGACACAAATCGAAGATATCTGTTGGATAAAACGCAGCATCTGATTGGCGGTTTTGGGAAAGGAGTTGACGAGTTTCCCGGTATGCAGCCCTTCGGCAGCAGTTTCCCGCTGACACCGAGACTGACAGATCATTCCTAGATGTCCTACATTCTTATCTGGGGCTCGCAAGTCTAGGTTTGCTGGGTGAACCAGGCATTGACCCGATCGATCCCGTTCTTTGTGCCAGTCAGCGAACGCGTCAACACCTTGAATCTCTCTCATGGTGGAAAGGGTCAACGTCAGTTTGAGGAAGGGTCAACGATGCGCTGGAGAAAAGAAAAAAAAAATTATTAGGAAGTATTAATTGTCCAATTCCTTGGCCATCCTTGGCTAATGGTGTTTTTCCCTTTCTGCGTCTCCATTCAACCCATTGTCCTGCTCTGGGTTGCGGTTGAAGAGAGGCCGCATGAGAATTTCAGCAAGATTGTCTGATCGGTGAACCTCATCATATCCGAGAGTTAGGACCAGCAGGGATCGTACGTAGCTCGAAAACGCATCATATCATCACCCGATACCGCTGGCACGTTGCTTCAGCTTTGTACATAATATCCTGTGGCCGGCGCCAGCACTTCTCGCGGCTAAAAATAAATACTGTGCGGCTCCAACTGCCCCAAAATTTCCGTCGTGCATGACACGTGAAGCTCCCTGTCCAATCGAACAATTCCATCTACCCAGCTAAAACGAGGTAAACGAAGCGCACCCTTGAAAAAATGCTTAGCCACCAGCTTTGCGGGGACCCTCTGCCGTATTCGAGTTTAATCCAGTGGGTTTGGGACCAGGGGATGCATGCTAACATCGCCAAGAGCATCTCCCGTTAACCTCGAATCCCACCAGCCAACCTATTTCGTTGACAAATTCCGCAAGAACAATGCCTACCGCCTGGCCTCCGGAGTGCAGCCAAGCTCGTCGACCAGCCTCTAGGCTCGCTTGCACCGAAGGTCCTCTTTTCCGTTTGGGCGACGAGTGCCGATCGGCAGCCTTTTCGCGAGGAATCGAGAAAATGCGGCTGCCAAGACCCCGGATCTTTGACGCTTTTGCCAAGGCTGCGCTACTTTTACTCCGTATTCCGTCGTTATTTGGCAAACTCGCTGCATCGCCTGACGGTCGAGTTCCGCTCAGCAGGCCGTTTTGACATCGCGGGCTGCAGACGGCGCGCCCATTGGCACCAATTGAACACTCAACTGAAGGAGAGTGCGTGCACCGTTGAGTGCCAGGTTTCATTTGGCAAACCCAAAATGATCGGTCAAGAGACTGTCGAGATTGTGGAAATTAGGGTGCCAAATTGCAGAGCGCGAGTTGATCCACTATCACATCATGTTCACCACAAAGCGAGCGAGCTAAAATAATGCTTGAACTTACGGAGCCCGCTTGTGCCAATCAAAGCGGCCACTTGAGCCGCATCAGAGGCGAAGGGCAGATGACCCTTTGGCGAACGAGACTGATGTTGAGAGCGGACGGGAGGGAAAGGCCGTTGACTCTTCCTACTTATACGGAGCATCGGCCGCATTCCCTATGGTGTTTCTTTCTTTTTCTTTCCTGTCTTGGATTACCCGCTGAGCTCCAAAACTGCTCCATCCTACCATAACCCCATCATATAATAAGACCGACACAATGCATATCTCTTCTTTAGTACTCTTCTCTGGCGTTGCTGCCGCAGCGACAAATCTCATGGCAGGATCTTATACCCCTGAAGAGGTATTACAGAAGCTGCAAAATAGACAGGTTCGATTTTGCAAGCAGATCAGGCCGCCATACACCTGCGAGAGATCTTGCGGTGAGGGCTACACCGAGTGTGGCGCCTTTCCTCATTGCTATAACCCGGGCCGAGGTGACTCTTGTTGCCGGAACGGAAGTAAGTGAATGCCAGGCAATGCCTTGCCATTGCATGCTAACGGGACCTTCATGAAGAATATTGCCCTTTTGGATATTACTGCACGGATGCTGGCTGTTGTCCATCACACCGGTCTCTAGAAGAATGCGGTGCCACCGAAATTCTCACAGGTAGCCCCCCAACACCTACTACTACTTCCCGCCCTGGCGACGACGACGACGATGACGATGACGATGATGACGATGATGATGACTACTCTACCACGAGCAGCTCTCAATTCACCCTCAACCTTCCCACAGTCACTCCCATTGCCACGGCCACTCCCAGTACCACTCGAGATACCTTCCCATCTGTTCCGACCAACGACGACGACGACGACGACGATGATGATGACGACGATGATGATTTCGAGCTCACCCGACTACCCGACAACCCTCTACCAACGCCAGCAGAAGGGTCACCAAACGGTGCTGGTAAGTTGGAGGGCGGTGCTATGATGGGTGCACTTGGAATGCTAGCGATGCTCTTGTAAATGTTATCCTGGAGTTACACATTTTAATATTGGCTTCTTGATGTATGGTGACATCGATTGGACGGTCCGAGGTTTCATTTCTAAGCGGGATCGGATATAATTGTTGGACTGCTTGCATATCCATGTAATAATGCCGTACATATCGCTTTATTCCCCAAATTCATTTCCAGCTTCGAGCATGAACGAAAGATCCTTTCATAGAGAGACAATTGCATCCATTCAACGTAACATTTTCTGGGTCTGCTTGTCGGGCGGGCGGACGGCATATGTCTCTAACCAGGTTCCGGAAAGTTAAACACTATCCACAAGCCACACAGGCCTTTTGAGAAGAGATACTCCGTACTTGCAGCAAATATACAGCAGCTACCCCCATCTGATGGAGCCAGACTAGGATGCGATTAAACGTCAGGCCAGACAGGGAGATTGATAATTCCTTTGAACTTGACCAGTGGTATAAGAGTCCCACCTGGTCTTGCATACGACCAATAGTCAAGCTAGTTCACCCCAGATAACCTACCCAGTCCTCTGGAACGACTCACGTACGGAGTACTCCGGACGCCTTGCAGCGACAGCTCTAGCGACTATGTGATAGGTAGGATCATGCGGGGTTGGCCAAGCTCGGCCCTCGGGGCTGAGTATAGTCTCCCTGCCTGCGTGAGTCCTGCAAGATGAAATAACGACAGACTTGAACATAGACCAGAGGAAAACTATGATGGCTGAAGACAAGCAGTTGAGAATCCTCTCTCTTGGTATGTCCAAGCGGGCCCAGGCCACGTAACTAATTTCGCTGACTTAGTTTCAGATATGGCAGCGGTGTTCGCGGCGTATCAAGCCTTCTCATCCTCGAAGATATCATGGAATGAATACAAGCGTATAAAAAGATTGCAGAGCAGGCTTTGGCCTTGAAATAAACCTCGTCGGTTCTCGCACCAGACTCAGGTGCTTTTTCTACCAAAACCCCCAGACATGCCATCCAAGAAGCGATTAGACAGTGCTGCACAAAAGTGGAATGCGTAATCCGCTGGCGCCAAAGGGGCACTCAGCTGTTGAGACATGCCTACATTGCGGTATGTATGCTCTTCTAGGGCAGGGCTTTTATAAATACGTATTTTTCTGGTTACAACGACGGTATCATAGCAGAATACTGATTATGCATCATAGGGTAACCTTAGCAATTGCAACAGACAACATCAATGGAAAGCCCACCCTCTTCAAAACTTATGATACATCTACCGTCTTTGCTTCCTGCACAATTTAGCAGGCTGCGCAGGTAACTTCAGCTGCGAACAACCTTTTAAAGTCCTTAAATGTTACACGGCACGAGATAGAATCCGTGAATACTGGTTTCTGCTACAGTAAACCTTGCGAGATCCTTGTGGAGGAAGGTTGGCAATACTTCCCTGAAGGCAGACAGATGAGAGTTCTTAGTGTTGGTATGAGCCTTAGAGATATTGACAACATAGACCTCGCCCGTCCTTCCATCATTGACGCGCCAGAAAAGGCGGCAAAATCCTCCAGGATCCTAGCGGCGAGAAGTTTTCGTGCAAGGCTCGCTCCGACTCACTTATCGGTATTATCAACCTTGCAAATGCAAAAAAAAAGAGGGTCGGGTGGAAATAGCTTTGACGGACCGGGAGTCCAATAGCTCCCGATCGATGAGGATCCCGAAGGGAATTATGACGCTGACTATGATCAGAGCGGTAGTATTGCGAGCCTATTGCAATCGTCCATCTTTGATCAACATGACCAATGTAAAGGAAATTACGTCTCGGCAATGGCCACTTCACAAGTCAAAACAAAGACAGATACGTTGGTTCCGTCATGCAGTAGGCCGAAATTGCCCGGGCTGGTATCAGAAGGCTACAACGCAGAAGCCCCATCCCACATCCACTTTCAATCGCGCGGCTAAAATCAAGGAGTATACTCCCCTCGGTGATGACTGCGGTGGGGAAACCACATACTCTATTGATTTCCTCTCCAGATGACGTGGAATTACCGTATATTAAAGCCTTCCTCGCCGTCCTCGCCGAGGATATCAAGGTGTTTCTGGTGAGCTTCACCACATCTCATTATACCCTAAGAATACTTCAACAGTATGTTGACCTTTGCTTGGTTCACTTCATAGGAAGCTGCAATTCCATTTCACTGGGAAGCGTGCGGTCGTCCTGCACCGGAAGCGGAATTAGGTGTGATATATCAGGTTATTACTAGAGGTTTACTGATATGCTTTCAAAGTGAAATTGTCCACTTATTGCAGCAGGAGGCTGATCAAAAGAAATCTAGACTGGAAGAGGTCGATAGCGGCGCGGCTCACAGCGGGCCAATTAGCGAAGAAGGGACTGATTATAAGCTACGTAAGCGGCAGCCATTCGAGGAGCCCGGGGGTATGCTCCCCAGGTGAGTCGACGGGGAGGAGGTCGAGGTGCCAAACCTGAATTCTAGGTGCTGCCCACTGAAGGTGCCTCTATCCGAGATGATTTTGATGAAGATGTCGACATATTTCCGGCGACACCCGGGGAGCAAGAGCCTTTTCAATTATCATACTACAAAACTTTTATTCGGTAAGCAGACAGCTATCAGTGGCTTCTCTCAGAGGTCAGCCAGCACGGCAGGCTGACCTTTGGCGATCCTAGTGTGATGTTTAGCACTGACGCAAGAATCCACATCCCATTAAGAACGCAAGCTGTGCTTCGAAAATTCGCCGTTGAAGATCATCATTGTCAGTGAGGACAACGTTCAACCTTGGACTGGAACCTTTTTTACCCTATCTGTGGGGCAGGATTTACCCCGTCGCTGTGAGATCCCGTAGACGGCACGGCACCCTTTGTTTGACGGGTTCATGGGACGAGTCTCGGGCTACGAATGTGACAACAGGGGAGCCTATTGTCAACTTGTTGCGACAGCTTTTGGTTCCCCCAGCATGATAGGAATGTTTTTGCGAGCGCTCCGTACTCATTAGTCCGTAATAACCTCGCTATCACTGATGCTGATACCGTTTTCAGACCAGATGCCGGAGCATCTGTCCGCTCGACCCAGCAGTCCTGACCCAAAGGACCTATCGCCTACGCTGAAGGGCACCCTACAACTCAAGAGCATATCGAACTTTCACCAAAAAAAAGTTCAAAAAGATATCGCGAAATGCATCGGCCGGGAATCGAACCCGGGGCCCGTCGATGGCAACGACGGATTTTACCACTAAACCACCAATGCTGACATGCCTTTCGACCTCGATTTTCATCTTCATCTCTGTCACTGTGGCCCCTGCTTTTGTGTCCGACGTTGCTGAGCAAATTTGGTGGATGGCTTTGGTTCTACGACTGCTGCCAATAGAACGAGGGATAGTAACTTGGTCCTCAGCAGTGTAAGATCTCGATATAGGGATGGAAGGTGAAAGTACGCCGACAGCAGAAGTTGTAGAGTCCTGTTGCATGGCACTCCATTGCAGAGAGGAGACTAGCCTGCACTTTCTGGAAACCCATTCCCACGACACTTCTGTTTCCACTCTTAAAATACTTTATGAAGAGCGGCTTTTGAGAGCCAAACCAGGCTTGGAACTAGGAGAGATGAACAAGCAAGCTCCTCTGGACCTCACTGTGTGAGCCCTTCAAAGCTCGTGGGTGCTGGAGAGGCGAGAAACCACTGGGATTCGCGGAACGTCATGTCGGTCCAGTCCAATTCCTCGTGTCGAAGAAATCGTTAAGGGCAAAGGTTCAGACATCGAAGTTCTTGTCCTCATCGAAGCCGGTATATTTCACGAAGCTTGTGGAGAAGGAGGTTGTGGTATTTGGACATCCGCCACTTTTATATGAGAAAAGGAGTAGTGAATGAAAGGGATGATTAAGGGCATCGGGATTAACTGCCGAGAACAGGAAAGCTGGCATCACTTCAACCATTGACTCCGATAGGTCACGGATAACCTAACCAACAGAGGTCGCTGTCCCAGGCCTGGAAGTCCAAGGCAGAGAAGAGATTCTTCATGGAGGCCACAGCCAAGTTAAGAGAAAGGGTAAATGGAAAAAACAAAGTGAACCGGGATTTTTTTAAGAAATGAATAAAAAGAGATAAGGTGGCTTGCGAAAGTTCCTTTTCAGACTTTGGCTTCAGAAGAGTAGGCGGAAGCAGGGAACTCAGATACAAATTTTGCTTTGTGTACCTTGTTACACAATCAAGGCAACCTCCCGTTCAAACGAATAATGGATACTATTCGGTGGCTGTTAATTATAAGCCTCGTCTCATCATCCTCAGGATTCAATCTGCTGTGTCTGGTAATCCAGCTTCCATGGGTATTCACAATATGAAGGCATGATGTGCCCAAGAAGAGTCGGCATTACAAGACAAGCCCCCGAAACATGCAACTCGGGAAACCTCTCCATCAAAAGTCGAGGATCAAGAAAGCCAGCGTCAACTGCATTGAGTGTGTCCATTTGGAGTGTCGTGTGGAAGCATGCACCGATGAGAAGCAGCGGTCTTCAAATGTTAGCCGCTATACTGCGATCCCGCCTTTCTTCAATGGCCAGTCTTGCTAGACCAATCCGCCGGCCAGACAAGTTGCTGAGGACCTGAGATGCCTTTTGCTCTTAAAATGTCAGCCGTTGTGATGTGTTCCTAAGAAGCTTCCTCCTAGATTCTCCTGGATACAAATCTCAACTTCAAAACCTCAGATCTCCACAGAGACATCAACACTATGCTCCAACCCCTCACTGGCGCGGAAGGAAGAAAGCTGCAATACACACAGACACTTCAAATTTCTTGGTTCCTGCGTGTCTGACTTTATATTTCTGACGCATTGGTGCCTTGAATTACACAAATTGTTCATAGTGGAAGCGGCTCAAAGGCGTTAGGTCATTGTGAGAATGGCGCTGTTGACATCCGCCAGTAAAAGAGATGTCCTACCGTGTCCCCAGACTCTGTGAACTTAACCCGCCTCCTAAGTGCTATGGGCTATTGCTTTGGCGTTTTTAATCGGAAAAGGGTTTGAAACTCGGTATTGAGAAGTACCATGGACAGGTAGATGCGCCAGTGATACTCCATTCTTGGAACCTCAGATTTGCTTTGGAGAAGAAACCTCGCGTCTTATTAAGTTACTTCAAGGTATGGAAGATCAAATATCCATCGCAAATGTTAAAGAACAAACAAGAGATCCTATCCGCCCTCCTAATGCACGGATCCAGGCTGTAGAGAGTGGTCATCATTTGCTTTGTGCCTCAACTTCATCCGATAGTGCTTCCTATGCGGATTTTAATCGAGGATAAAAGTAAGAGAGAAGGGGGGAAAATGGGGCTATACTACGGATGTGACCTATTTTTCTTTACAGGCTGAGCCAGAAGCCATCGGGTTTTGCGGAGTGCTATTCGCAACGTCAGGGAATAGGGCGTCGCGGAAATCGACTTGATATCCCCGAATCAACGTGTCACTGATAAGGCAGGGCCAAGATTGGAATCGAGCGTCAACGAGGAGTATCCATCTATCGAATATTGGAGGTCACTATGAGCAACGGAGGGTGAGCACGGGGTGCGCCGAGCCGAGCAAGGACAGGGGAGAAGTCCTTCCGAGCAAATTCATGCATCGAAAACAAGCCATGAATCACAAACCCTGGTCGCGATGGGATGGGCCGCACCGTCGGCCCAAGGGAACCCTGCTATCCGCCCGGTCGATGGCCAATGCGGTGGGGGTGAAATGAGATACGGCCCTTCCGCAGGCGCAAGGCACCCAGGGCACCCAAGTCAGATTCTAAATAGGGCTTTGTGCGGGACCGGTCCGCAGCGATACGAAGAGGCAAACAACAGAGGCCATTTGGAACTCAAAGCATATTTCAAGCCAGTGTGATATTAAGGGCCCATGTACTCCGTACGGAGTATGCACTCCGGAATTCCAATTTGAGCCGTACATCAGAAGATTGGCTTGTGGAACACGGCCATTTTGGGCGATCCTGTATGTTCGCTTCAGCCTCCCTGTGATCTGACAAGGGCGCCTGAGAAGAACCCTCTCGCATCGCTTAAACTTGCGCCGGAGCCAATGCAAGAACTTGAGCTCTTTCTGACTTTTCGCACCTTGGTGTCGCAGCCCAGACTGAGAATTGAACTTGCTCTGACGTGGGTTGGCAGATCGCCGTTTAGACCCCTGCTCGAACCATCAGACTGGGTTTACTAACTAGTTACCTAGTTTGCGGATGCGATCCCGCTAGCAAACGAGTTAACTTTGACGAGTTGACTGAAGCTTGGCGAGCGAGCGAGGGACAGCCGGCAGGGCCAGGTTTAACATGCCAGCCATCCAGATTGCCATCCATCCTCCGTATCCATAGACATTGTGAACTAGGCTGCAGGTCTAGCCAGCCCCGAATGCATGGTTGAATGATCATCAGTGACTCTGCTCCACCAGATCGCTGACACTATTATTCACGTCCAAGGATCAATACGGGCTGGGCGGGTGGTGGCGATCAAAATCGTCTGCTAGAAATGATCCGCGAAGTTTCCAAAGCCGGACGAGATATGCTGAAGGTGGAAAGCTATGATCTCCATACTCCGTACTCGCCAAAGTCAAGAACACGAAGCTCGCTGTGACAAGCGGGGCATCCCACGGCCAGCCAGCCAGCCAGCCTCTGCCGAAGATTTCCAAGGCACGGATAATCTGTCATCACCAGCATTTCATCGACGCCCGCTTTTGAATGTCTCCATCGGCCGGGGATGCGGTTGTTGACGAAAACGGCAGAGGGTTATAATTGTCCTGCTCGTCCACGGAGAAACATGCATATGAAATACATGGGAAATGTCATTTGAAAGCTGATTTCATCGACATTGCAATACGATCACGTTTTTCACAACAGCCCCAATCCCGTGTTTTTACCCCCCCCCACGCCATGACTGTCGCTCCAGAGGCCCCGGCTCTGACCCCTTACGAGTCTCTGACTCGCAGCTTGCAGTTCGCCGACAATAGCCAGCATGTTTGGTGGCAAAAGGTCGGATTGATGATGTCCAAGGTCCTTGGGTCCGCGGATGGTAGCTGGGAAGAACAGCTCGGTTACCTCCAATTCTTCGCGCGGATCGTCCTTCCCCAGCTGGGCCCATATCCACGAAAATTCAACAGCTCTATCACACGGAGTGGTCTCCCTGTCGAGTTCAGTATCAATTACCAGCAAAATGGAAAACCGCCGGTGGTTCGTGTTGGTTTTGAACCTCTCGGCAACTTGTCGGGAACGGCGAAAGATCCTTTCAACAAAGTTCCCGTGACTAAACTCCTTCCCGCGCTCTCGCAGCTGCAGATATCGGGCTTCGACCTCCAGCTTTGGGATCATGTTGTTAAAGAACTCACGATAAGCGAGGATGAGCAAACCTCCATCGAAGGAACAGAGATCGATGGCGGGTATCTCAGGAGCCAAACTGCATTCGGCTTCGATCTGATCGGTGGTGGAGGTGTCTCGGTCAAGGGATATGCGTTTCCGGCGTTAAAATGCAAAGTCACCGGGAAATCCATGGCCGAGATGATGGCCGACTTCGTCAAGAACACGGAGCATCTTGTTGACTGCTCAGCCGCGTTTTCGATGGTACACGCCTACCTGAAGGACAAGGGCTACGACGACAGAGCATTCTTGTCCTGGGACTTTGTGCAGCCATCGAAATCTCGCCTCAAGTTATATACTGCTTCCAACAACGTCACTCGGGACAAACTGGAGGAGGCTTGGACCCTCGGCGGGCGGCTTCAAGGTCCTACGGTGTCCAAAGGTCTCCAGTACTTGAAGCTACTTTTTGATCTCATCAACCTCGAGGAAGGAGAGCGCCCAGTTGAAGTAGCATTTGATGATAGTAAACATTCCTCCAAGGCAACGCCCTTGGTTTGGAACTATGAGATGAGAGCTGGTGACCCAAATCCCTTGACGAAGCTCTATTTCCCTATTCATGGGGAGAACGACATGCAGATCATCACTGGAGTGGCCCAGTTCTTCCGCATGATCGGTTTGACGGACCTGGGCCACTCCTATGTAGACACGGTCAAATCCTACTTGTAAGTGGCCATTGACCTTCGAAACTCAGACATGCTTCTAGGAACCCATGGCTGACACGAAGACTCGCAGTCCGGATATTGATCTAAGTACAACCGAGCGTTTTACTTCCTGGGTTTCTTTCGCATACACGGAAAAAACCGGTGTGTATCTGAGTGTCTACTATCATTCGTCGACGGACAACCCGTGGGAGACAGAAAAGCCAAGCGGAGCCTGAAGGAGCGAGGTAGTCAAGGAACAGAGCTCAGTTTGAAGTCGAATAAGCTAAGTTTTGTAACTAGCTATGTATGTGTTTACATAGTAACTATGTAGCCAATGAACACCCAACTACATGACACTACCCCATGGGGAGCGACCAACTTTGTAAAAACTGAACCTTTTTGCACTCTGCGGTTCGCGAGAGAGAGATTTCTTCAGTAGGGATAACTAACACAGTGCCAGATCCCACGTTTCATCTCCGTACACGACTATTTTTTTTGAACCACAACACGAAGACCCGTGCAGCCATCTGCCACGGGAGAGTGTCCCATCAGATTTACTTGCTATCATATGCTATCCGGTATTCCCCGTCCGCAGGGATATTGGTCGGAACATAATCCTTCCCAGATCTGACTGCCTCAGCCGCTGCCGCGAATTCCCTGTAGGTGTATTCTTGGCAGTCATGGTCAAAGATCCAAGCGGGGTGCGGAGGCCTCGCCAGATTTGGATCTTTTCGGAATAATTCAAAATCACTTCGATTCATGCCAAATTTCAGCACTGCCAGCCCCCCCTGTTGAATCAGTTGAGCGCGCTTGAATCTAGATTCATCGAGTAAGCTCTTCTGTAGACATACGCCGAGCTTTTAGATTACGAGGAGGGCCACTATACCTGATCTTTTCTGTTACGGACAGCGCAAGGGGAATGTCTTGCTTCCCTGCTAACTCTAGGGCGATTGCAAGTACAGCCGCATCTTCAATGGCTTGTGTGCCTCCTTGGCCACTGGTCGGAAGAGCTGCATGGGCTGCATCACCAATAACGATCATCCTTCGGCGAGGAGAGAGCCAAGATTTCAGGGCTGTTGTCACGACGAGTTTTTGAGAGATGAACCTCCCCTCCGAAACATTCCGGACGACTGACTCGAGCTCATCCCGCATGGTCCAATCACTCATGCATTCGAGAATATGATCTATTGCCTCACTGTTATTTTTAGGAGGGACACTCGCAGCCTCGAACAAAGTCAGACTCATTCTAGCGCTGACTGAGGAGGGGTTTTACCTCGTGGCAGGCGTACCAAAAGAGCTCGCCGCCGTCGATCTTAATACCCATGCTGATGTGCATGCGAGGCCCCATCCATCCGTACATGCAATTGCCGTCTTCCATGCCACTGACAATTCGAGTCAGTGAGGGACCCTGGATAGCCGCTTTGCCCTCCAAATATCCTCGAGTGGACACAAAACCTGTCTCCTTGCATTGCATCTCCTGGCCGGTAATTGCGGCTCTGCCTTTGCTGTGAATTCCCTCAGCGCAAATGACACAATCTGCTGCTACCTTTTCCCCATTGACGACAATGCCCGCTTCGTCTTCAGTTTCCCAATACTCTGTGACCGTGGAGCCCATGAACACTTTGATTCCGAGTTTCTGAGCGTAGTCGTACATGGAGAATACGAGCGAGCCACGGTTAAGCGTGTATCCTCTCCCAGCATTGTACCCGTGGAATTTATGTTTCCCGAGATCAAACCCGGTATAATCAAATATATTCATATTGTCCGTTCGGAACTTTAATGGCTTGATCGTTTCATTGAACTCACCGTTATCCCATTTAGATAGGACAGAACACCCGTTCGAGCCAAGACTGATGCCATCCCCTCCTAACGGAGTTAAGCTGCAGTCAGAGCGGCTGCGTAGCTCGTAATTGAGTCAAGAAATCATTGGGGGCCTTACCAACTTTAGTGAGCTCCGGCAGTCTTTCATAGACAACCACATTATGCCCTTTTCTATGACATTCAATTGCAGCACTAGCGCCAGCTATACCGAATCCAACGATGATGACCTTGATTCCGGTTGAGCTGGCTACAGGGTCCTCATGCATAGCCATGGTGGATATGAGAGAAAAGGTGTGCTGGGCGTGTGGGAGAGGGGAGAGCGGGAGAGTACCAAGCTGGTGAGGGTGATAGGACTGCAAAATAATGCGTAGTGAGATTTTTTTTTTTATTGAGCCTAGCAAACAGAGGAATCAAGCGACACTTTATAGTTAGTGATAAGATTTTAATATGCTCCTCATAAATTCATGTCGTCAAGAGCTCATCAAGAGGGATCAACAACAATTGCAGGGTATCGGGCAGATGGTTGTCATTGCGGAAGTGCAAAGAAGGAGTATAGCGTCGGATGCCTGAAGCCTACGATCACATTTTGAGAATGGATATCTTTTGGCAGGAGCCAAGGCGTGAGGGATACACTAGTTAGCCGCCAGCGATGCATTAGCTCCTGGTTTCACTCGCTACCTCTTCACGGTTCAACGAGTTAAGATCTCATATCTTTATTTAGGCTGGAGATTATCTGGTCTTCTCGACCGAAATTCTAGGAAAAGCTTATTCCTCTCGCCCTAGTCTGTCTATCGATTGCCATTTGACAAGATGAATGCTGTAATTTCCCAAAATGGGGGCTCCTCGAAGACTCAAAGGTCCAAGTGGCGGACGTTGAGCGGCGATCGGGTGATCTGCAGCAGCGTAGATCAGCAAATCTCCGGAGTCATTAGCGAAACTTTCCCAACCGGATTATTCAATACCTCAAGCCTCTCAGGCTTGGGTGGCTGGCTGATGTCGAAATTAACCATGCACGGCACAATCTAGACGCCGTGCATCAGGCCGGCAAAGGTGACGACAGTGTAGGTAGCAGCCGGGAAAAGCCCGGAAACCCATGGCACGACGAAAAATAATTGCATTTATCGACAGCAGCTATTTTCCGCAAATTAGTCAACCGCCACCTCAGGAGTTGTGCAATCGTATTGTCCGGTCAAAATTAAGATGCTGGGTTGTCTTCTAGGCCAAAGTTTATGAAAATCAAAAGTGACAAGTAACTAACTAATAGTCACTCGTTAGTGAGCTGTCAATCAGTCAGCTAGGACCAAGATCCCCATGCACTTGGAAATTCAGCGACACGCAAAGAGCCACCTAAACAATACTCTCGGCTAACCTTGCTCCTGAAGCCAGGTATTTTATAGAAATGTACTCCGTACTCTGTAGAAAACCCGCTTCGTTACCCCATCCTTCGACGAATTTTCTCTGGGAGAGAGTTTGGGAAGCGGGATCGAGAGAGAAGCAAAAAAATAAATGAAATTTCAAGATTAGACATGAGATGATACAACCGGAAAAGATGCAAGAGTCCGATATCGAGTCGTGCCTCTTTCCCAGGTTAAGTATCTTAGGGAGTACACAGAGACCCCGGGGAGTGTACAGCTGTCCGTTGTTTGAGTGTCAAGACATAGGCTCGGAAGCCAATATTCTCCCATATTTGACGACTGCCTGGTCAATACTCCTTGCGAAATATGCCGACACTCCTACGGCGCAATTCGGGGTCTTTCCAGAGGGTGTCACGTCCCAACCGCAGCAGATCATTGAAGAATGGAGTGCCTCCTTCGAGCCCACGCGCTGCGTCCGGGAAGCTGTCCTCCTGCAAAAAGTTCGAGGGTGGCTTTTCCATGACTGCGAATACCGAGGTCGATTCAACAGCTGTGTTATTCACGGATGCTCAACGAGCTGGATTGACCAGTGGGCCGAATTGGTAAGTTGATACCAGTTTCTTTGGAGTCTTTTCCGAAGAGAGGGATGCTCACGCCAGCTACCTTTAGTCGGATCATCCTATCGCGCTGATCCTTCTCGTGGAAACGACGGAAACGCCGCGCGTCTCTCTGTACTGCCAATCGTCGCTCTTGGACGAGGGGTTGCTCGGACTTTTAAGATCAGCACTTCAGCATATTCTCCGTTCCCTGTCCGAGAACCCGAAGGGATCGTTACAAAGCCTCGAATTCACATCGGAAAGCCACCGAAGGCAGATCCATGACTGGAACGAATCAGTCCCAAAAGAAGCTGTAGATAAGTGTATACATCACTTGATACAGAGACAATGCTTCGATCAACCGGCTGCGGAGGCCATATGTGCCTGGGACGGGTCCCTGACATACGCTGAGCTGGATGATCTTTCGTCCAGCGTCATGCATGTCCTCCATGGCTACTCCATCGGCCCAGAAACTATCGTGCCGCTTCTTTTCGAAAAATCCAAATGGACTGCAGTCTCGATGTTTGGTGTCCTAAAGGCTGGAGCAGCATTCGTCCTGCTCGACCCTGCGCATCCCGACGAGCGACTCCAAGTCATTTGTCAGGACGTCGGGGCAAATGTCATTCTTACATCCACGTTGTACAAACAGACTTCCTCGGGTCTGGCGGACACCGTGATTGTAGTGCCCTATATCGCCGACATAAGTGGACCGGAAGATACCGCGACCGTTATTAGACGGGAGAAAAAAACCTCGAGCACCTCGAGGAATGCGGCATATGTCTCGTATACTTCGGGATCAACAGGGAAACCCAAAGGAATTGTGATTGAACATGCTTCAATGTGCACGAATGCCCTATCGAGCTCAGAAGCTCAAAACCTCACCGGCTCATCACGGGTGCTGCAGTTTGCATCCTATGCATTCGATGTGAGCATCCATGAGACTCTCGTGCCTCTCATGCTCGGAGGCTGTGTTTGTGTACCATCGGATTCACAACGAGTCAACAACCTCCAAGAGGCGATTATAGAGCTCTGTGTCAACTGGATGGAGCTCACGCCTTCAGTTGCTCGCCTTTTAACTCCAGAAGAGATTCCAGCCGTGAAGACGATGGTGGTTGGAGGTGAGTCCATGCCGCCTACCGAGATTGCTCGGTGGGCTGCTCGCATGAGGCTGGTGATTGCGTATGGCCCAGCAGAATGTACGGTGGTTTCAACGGTCCAAGCTCATGTCGCCGTAGATGGGGATCCGTTGAATATCGGCCGTGGGTATGGAGGGACAACATGGGTCGTGGAGGCAGAAAATCATAACAAGCTGGTGCCCATCGGGGCGGCTGGAGAACTCCTGATCGGAGGACCGATCGTTGGTAGAGAGTATCTGAATCGTCCGCAACAGACCACGGACGCGTTTGTCGCAAGCCCACCATGGATGACCAGTAAAGGCGAGAGCTCGCGAGTCTATAAGACTGGAGACTTGGTGCGGCAACTAGCAGACGGCACACTGGTGTATCTGGGGCGGAAGGACACCCAGGTCAAGCTCCGAGGACAACGAATTGAACTTGGAGAGATCGAACACTTTGCTCGGGACATATTTCCCGGAGCGGCGGTTGCCGTCGAGATGGGGAAACTGTATCATGGACGCCCTGCTTTAGTCCTGTTCGTTGAATGGGAGCCATTCAAGGACGGAACCATACAAGGATCTGATGATGGCTCCTTGCCATTTTGCAAGCCCAACCACTTATTTGAAATCAATATTCCGAAGGTAAAGGCCAGACTAGACGGTGCTTTCCCTCGATATATGGTTCCCGAGTTACTTATTCCTTTGCGAGCAATGCCACTGTCCCAGACGACCAAGGTTGACCGAAAGTCGTTGCGTAGCATGATTTCAAAGCTGACAAAGAACGACTTGCAAGCATATCGGCTCACTTCAAACCACAGCGGTCGATTGGGCATGGAGTTTATTCGACTTATTGCCCACGTGTTAGCTCTATCCCCCGATGAAATCCTGGAGGACGACGATTTCTTTCATTTGGGAGGCGATTCAATCTCTGCTATCAAGTTGGCTAAAGAAACTCAAAAAATTCCTGGGCTCATGTTAACGGTGACTGACATCTTTCAGACACCTGTCATCTCCCAGCTGTGTCAAAAAGCACAAAAAGAACGAATTGCATCCCCTACGGCTAGCATTCCCGTCGGCGTGTTGCGGTTTTCTTTGGTAGACTCGGCAAATGCGGAGTCGCTCAAGCAGCTAGCAGCTGATCAATGTGGGGTCCCTCCCTACCAGCTCGAGGACATCTACCCGTGCTCCCCTCTTCAGGAACGCCTCATGGCCCGGACGGCTCGTCAGCCGGGCGCCTTTCAGGCTCGATTTACCTTCCGCATGCCTACAAATATTGATTGGAATAGGCTGCGATGCGCTTGGGGCGTGGTTGCGGATTCTTTTGCTATCCTACGCACCCGGATCGTCAATGCAGGGCAGCTCCAATCAACCCATAGCATCCTCCAAGCCGTGGTGCGTGGTCAGGATATCGAATGGCTGGAGACAGAACAAACCAACCGCCATGGCGACAGCAGGTGGGAGAGACTTATGTCCTTCGGCACGCCTCTGATCTATTTGGTGGCTTGTCGTGACAGCTCCAACCCAACACTGACGCTAGTGATGCATCATGCATTATTTGACTGGTGGTCATACAACCAAATTCTCGACGCTGTCAAAAATGCATACCTGGGACAATATGTCGACCTGAAATATTTTTCGCCCTTTATCAAGTACATAGCTGACTTGAGCAAGCGTGAGGCCAGAGAGTTCTGGAAACAGGAATTCAGCGGTCTTCAGGAAGCTCCATTCTTAGCCCACCGTTCTGCAAGCACTGCTTCTCAAGCATTCAAGTGGACACAAAGAGATATCCATCTACGTCTGTCCAACCAAAGGGGGGCGACAACATCATCGATGATCCGATTGGCATGGGCCATGGTAGTGTGTCAGCACACAAGCTCTCTTGACGCGGTATTTGGTGTGACCGTGATGGGCCGCAGCATTGACGGAGCCGCCGATACAACCGGTCCGACTATCGCTACGCATCCAGTACGGATACGGCTCCAGGAGAACCTTGAAATCAACGAGGCACTAAAGCGTATGCAGGATCATCGCACTGCATTGATTCCATTCGAGCAAACGGGGATACAGGAGATCCAACAAGCAAGTCCCGAGGCAGCCATGGCTTGCGAATTCCAAAGTCTGCTTGTTGTGCAACCTCAATCCGAAAAGGGTACACAGATGGAGCTCTCTTCGCCTCTACTTTGGGAATTGGAGAATGACACTTCCTG